TCATAAAATAAGAACTCCGGCGTCTTGTATTGCTTAATAAAGAAATACATGTACAGTATAGAAAACGATTCTTGCACAAACATGCCAGGATAAAGTTATTGCTGCGAATAAACCAAGGTTTGCGACACAATATAGGCAGGTTATATTATTCCAATGGCTTTGAGTCACACGTCTCTAAACCATATCGTGTTGCAATTGCAACCATAAAGGAAAAACCTTGCAACCAAAATATCTGAATCGTCCAATCAACATTAATAAGTTCATATTTGGGGCTTGGATATTGTCTATTTTTGTTTGTAACCACTCGATTAGTTCGTTTTGATAAAACTTTTGTATTACTGTAGAGTTGATGGATTTTTTGAGCATCTGGCCACCTCCAACATTTTTTTACAATTTATACCAATTCTATTTATCTGCGATTTCATTATTCTCCTAAATTCATTTTCTTGTACTTATTTCTAATAATTATTTAATTTACATACTTTTTATACACCAACTAATGTATACTATGCAAAATAAGACTTATGCTCAATAACATAAATATGATTTAAAATAACAAATACTAATTAAAGATATATTAAAATTTTCTTGAATGTATTTTTTTCTTAACCAGAATTTACTCACTTTTGGTAAGAACTTTAGTGTTTGAGTATATGTTATATTATTTATTTATTTATTTTTAAATATACAGCCCATTGTGCTTAACGTAAAATTACATATAATGTAACAATATAATTTATAAACAGAATAAGATAAAATAATGAGATATTTGAAAAGAAAATAAAAAGGTTAACTTGTGCAGATGGAGATTATTTGATTAGGTGAAGTGTTGTAAATATCTATTTCATTATTAATTAAGTTAAAGTTAGAGGACATAAGTAAAATAGGCGAATGTAAGAGAGAATTAGATTTAGGAGTAGGATCATTGAAAAAATAATTGTGAACGCGTAGATAGCCTTGGAACATTAAAGGATAGTTGATTAAGAATAAGAGGACAGTCTATAGAATTATTGCAAAGTTTAAATAAGAACATAATTGTACAGATAAATCGACGTGAGGCAAGGGAAGGAATACCACGGGAATGGTCAAAACCACGTTCCGGGTAAATTTTATATGTTTTATAATAAAGATATTTCAGAAATTTTTGCTGAACCTTCTCTATCGCATCAGAGTTGTTGATTTGATGAGGATACCAAATAATCGAATCATATTCCAATTTTGAACGTACATTAGAACGTACATGCAAAGAAGTTCATTGTTAGAATTGAATTGTTTACAATTTCTCAGTATCAAACCTAAAGATTTATATGCTCTATCACAAATATCAATTATATGATCAGTAAAAAACAAACCAGAATATTATATGTTTAATTAAAAATAGACAATATTTGTAATAAATTACAGACTATCATAGTCGTTTGCAATATATATATGTAAAGTTTAGTAAAAGCCAACATTATTGCGGCGACATATAAGTTAGAACGATCGTTGCAAAAAGCTAGTCGCAGATGCCCTGAAGTCATCCTGAAGCTTTGTATAAACTATCTAAGAAACAGTTTCCTCATGTCATTACGATAATTAATTATTAACTTGATGTATTACCGTGTTATTTAAGAATTAATGTAACACGTTAAAAGATAGAATTAGAATTATTTATTGAAGCATAATATATATGTCGAACATATGAACGATCGTTGCCTCATAGAAAAAGTTAGTACCAATCATAAGTATGCTTAAATTTCTAAACATATTGAGCGATTTTTGTAACTGTAGAATTATTTGTCTACAAATAACAGACAAAAGAATTTGGTGGTCCACGCTTACAATTAGATAATTACACATAAATGTATAAATGTTATTTACACGTATGTGTATCCTATAAACATTACAAATTCAAAATAAATAATAAAAAATAATGGCAGTAAATATAACTGTATCCGATTATCAAACCGGGTCTTGGACGGGATTCTTGGACGGCCGTAAAATGCAATGTTATATATTTTTAAACTTATTTATAATGACCGTCCGCAAGAATATTGCATATGCAATTATCTTTGTAAAGTAATATTTATTATTATTGAACTATCGTGTGTATGGGAGAAAAAATTAACATATTAATAAGAGGCTCCTGAATTTCATAATGGCAAAAATTAATTATCATACATTGTAGCTGGACGATGTTAATTGATAATTTTAGATCAGTGGCTAGATAGCAGCTAAAAGTTCTTTGAACTGGGATAATGAAATTTTTTGCATTAGTACGTAAGAGTTTGAAATTTTCTAAGAATCAGTTTTTTAAAACTTTAATTTGAATCTTCTCTATAACTATCGTTAACCATCAAGGAAAATTCAAAATAAGTATCGATTATTCGATTCCAATCAAAATGTCAACGTCATTCCGAATGATGAATGTGTCTTTCCTTGCACACTTATTGACTTATGGTTTATTTAAATTTAATTTTTATTTTTTTATTTTTTTATGCTTAGCAGGAAATTAATTGTGCGTGTGTGGAAAGTGAACGTTTTGACAAATGATTTGACTGATCACGAGCGAAAATTTTATTAGAAAATATTGATTGATTATAGGATATGGACATAAGAAATTATGATTCGTCTGTTTGACGATGAATTGATTAATATGAAGTTTTATGGTAATGTAGCTTATGGTAAGGATGATGAAAAGAATTTTGCTGGTTGTTCGATTTTATACATTTTTTATTACAAAGAGGTCTTTAATACATGCACGGAATATTTTCTAAAAACGCGGCAAGTTTTTTAGTCATATTTTAACCATTTTTCATAATTTAGCCATATTGCGTAGAGCTATAATATTTTAGTATTTTCATTAAGATTAGGTACTATATCGCCATAGAAAAACTTTTTAAAATCGCTGAAAAATTTTGTAACAAGCAATGATCTCTGTCCAAAACTAATCAGCACGATTTCTAAATAATATCCTTGGATTAGTTTTTGAATTCCCAAAATGGATTCAGGATTTTTGAATAAAACGTGGAAAAAAATTTGCATTTTTTGCTAATTCAAAAGAAACGGCTGTGTACAAAAAAAACACAATGAGTCGCTCGGCCGATTGCATAAAAAAAGTAACTATTCCGAGTACTTGTCAAGTTTCATCGAATTACTTTACAATTTTTGAAATCAGCCTAGCCGTTTTTGAGAACACGTTTTCGAAAGGTAAAAAATCGGCTCACGTGCAAACACACATGTATACACACACATACTTTTTGCGAATGGGACTTCATCATTTAAAAGATAAATATAATTTCAATGAAGAATGCTAACATTCTATATCCTCCCCCCATGAAGTAATACCTGACGGCGATGACTTAAGACGGCATAAATGATTTTCTTTCGCTATACAAAAAAAACATACTCTTTTCAAATTTGGTCTCATTCGAATCGGATTGTCTTGAAACGTCGAGAAAACACAAAACTAGCAAATAGGATTTTCTCCAAATAAAGTTGCATGAAGTATTTTGGCACCACAATATTAAACTTGTGGTGTATGGCATCGTGGCTTGAGGCAAATTTCTGGAACTTTCCGTACCAAAAATTAAATTTTTTGAAGGAGATTCAATTTTTTTTAAAGCTTTGAAAATATTAGATTTCTAATTTCTGCATTAGCTGCGCAGAAACAAAATATTGAAGCGCGTAAGCGCCGCGTCGCAGTGTAACGAATAAACATCGATACAGATCCTATAGAAATATAAAAATTTGTTCCTATTATTAAGATTTCTATAAAATATCTGATGATTTGATGTGTATATGTCTAATGATCATTTTGTCTGCCAAATAGCATTTTCTTTTTTACTCGACCTCCAAAACAGCTAGATCTGCCTTCCCAAAAATTTAACCAGTTCTTCATTTTGTTAATACAAATAAAATGTTTTTTCAAATATTCAAATCGGTTAACTTGTTAAAAACAAAATCGTCGACGAAAATTTGTATCCGCACACACACATACCCCGCTTAACGATATTTCGTTTAGTGCTCTTTTATTCAAGTCAAGCTCTGCAACTAGAATTACATGTTCTAGAAATATTAATAATATCATAAAGAAAATAGAAAAACAACTGTTTATATAGATTGACGACGAAATTGACCGCAATATACCATTAAGCCAATATTTCCCTAACCCCAATATTTCCATTCGATAGCCTCGTTTAGCACTGTTTTGCATTACGCGTTAAGCGGGGTATTGCTGTATATCTATTTTTTCTAACATATGCCAAAATGTTCAGAAGCCTTTGAAACGTAAAGATATGCAAAAATTTTCATTGTCGATTTTCTTTGCGGTTACTAAAACTTATCCTACGGACAAGAAATATTTTCCATTTTTTATTCATCCAATGAGTCACTCGTTCGTTCCCGCAAGCCTATTTTTATTTACATGGATTCTTTCTAAAACACGTTTTCGAGTTATTAATATTATATGTCTATCAGTCATAAAATCATTGAGTTAATTTCAACCTGATCAATAAATTATATTCCGGAATGCCGTATTAGAATCCTTGTCAGTAGTTATAATTTACGCATTAGCGTTGCGTCTTCACATGGGACAACCGTTATGCTACCGCGGTTAACATCAAATACGGGTTTCCAGAAGTCAAATGAGATTAGTGCGAATTCCTAAATTAAATTGTCTTGAAATTGAGAATTAATTCATACAGCAATTGATTAGGTCGATTATTTACACATGCAACTTGTCTTGGGACAAAATGCCATTTACAACTATTTATTTAATTTTTGAAGTAAAACTTCTTTAGGCGCGACATGGGTGTAAATCCGTAAAAAGGCAACGGAAATTGTTACGCCAAGCTGAAGTGAGAGTCATTCGCTCTCGATGATATGATTTCTATATGGGTCGATTCTGATGCGTGACTTTATACGTGCGTACGTCACCGAAAGCGTTTTTTATACGTGAGTACGTCCATCATACGGTTAGTAATAAGGTTTTATATACCTTTGAGGTTATTACTAAAATGGAAAATATTTTACAAAAGACAGATACTATAGTTGCTCAAAGAATGAAAATGTATCACCAGCGAAATAGTCAAAACAAACAAGCAGTCAATAATGAAGTTCTACAAACTCAATTACATGATAAGCGAAATTGTGGAAACAATATATCTTCATTGGAAATTTATCGTAAGTTTTTATGTTTCTCTTTTATGATGGTTTTGAAGGCTAATTTTCATTTATTATAATAGTAATTATAAATATTGATGCAGGTTCAAAGCCTCTTACAAACTCTGAAAGATCAATATTACATCGTCAAAGAAAACAACTGCAGAAAAATAATCGGTTACTGCCAATTTATAAGAAAATCTTGAGCCGAATATCAATTTAGATGTTAATGTCAACACTATTGTGACTTAAAAATATCAAATGATGCTCAAAAACAAATTCTTAATAATGGTTGTCAAACCTCATGTCAAACTTCTCGAAAGGCATTAAATTCGGGTAAAATTTCCACTTTGTGTAAATTTAACGGGTTTGTATTTTCACCTATACCAAATTATCTACCTAAACTAGATACTGTATCTGAAAGGTTAATTTCACCTAGGTTGTGTTTCATGCAAATTAGACGATTGCGACATGCAAATGGACAATTTGGAATATATGGCCAAATTATAAATGTGCCTGTTGACATTAATAATATGGTTGATTTATTACCTCGTAATATTGATGATGATCATTGCATTAATAATCACATAAAAAAGAAAATGAATCATAGATCAAGTAATGTGCAGGGCTTGATAAATAAAACAAATATAAAAGTATGGCTTCAATTTTTTAGGCAAGACAGATATTACGGCTGTTCAAAGAATGAGATTATATCGCCAGTGAAAAAGTAAAAAAATACAAACAGTCCATGAATGTATGTTAATTTTAATTTTAATTACATAAAGTTCTTCAAACACAATCATTACATGATGAGTGAAGTTACAAAAACAATATTTGTTTAGGCGTTGTTTAACATGATCCACTGTGTGAACGAATATCATAGAATTTATTAATCAGCAATTACTTTAAACCGATCATGTCATATTTCAAGTATGGCTTTGATTACATTATTGTTTGTAAGTATTATACATATTTTTAATGCAATCATAAATATATAATTTATAATTTATCATTATATAAATGTGTATAATGGTTGGGTTGACACTAATAAGTGTGTGCATTATTAGTGTTACCATATTACCATAATTGTTATATGATGTATTTATTTTTAATTAACTTAAATTTGCTACTTTGTACAGTAGCAAATAAGTTTTATTTCAATCGCGTGTGATCCTTACGCGCACTCTTTTTTTTACCTCAGTTGAAGTAACTGAAGAAATGTGAAAATAGTCTTATTTTGAACTAATATGTGATTTAATTATCAGTAATTGGTTTAACGTTCTTAGGTATTTATATCACAGTGTGTGACCGACTAACAGACTGCGTCAAGATAATTAATTGCAAACAATTAAGAGTTCTTCTAGTGACTACTCTAGTCCAGTCTTAATAAAAACGAAAAGAACAGACGTCATATAATGTCAGGCGATGGGAAGCCGACAAATCATTCAGAGCGTGACAGACTCGTCACGGTTCCGCACCTCTGTATTTCCGAAGAATAAATGCAACGCGTCAGGGAAACCGAATAATGATCTCGGGATCATTAGATCGTGAAAGATTTACAATTACACATTAGTAAATCAGTCTTAGGATCTTACATTTTACATTTTATTCTTCAGATCTAAGCCTGCAAAACGCGGAAGTGCATATGCCTACGCAGGCAGCCAGCAGCCACCAACGGCGAAGCCGATTAAAAATTTACGCAGAAGGTAGAGAAAATGAATCAGAGACCAAAGACGATCTCTACATTCATTTGAGTCATGCGTAGAAAATTGAGAAAGTTATGTTTAAATTAAATGCACGACCATATCGCATAAAGTAGAAGAGCTGGTTTATGTATAAATAAAATGTTGGTTCTGATGTTTAGAATAAGATTTAGCTTTTACATCCTTCTTCTCTATCTTAGCTTAAGAGGAAGAGGACATATCCCATGTTGTCTAGTGGTTAGGATACCTGGCTCTCACCCAGGAGGCCGGGGTTCGATTCCCCGCATGGGAATAATTCGTTTTAAGTAGTTCTTTACGAATGCAATATTTTATAAATATTTGAAAGAATTTTTAAATATTTGGAAGATCTTTGCATTTTGGTTTTTATCTATTTTCTTCATACAACAGCGCTTTATGTACACATAAATCGTCTTATAATTTGCTAAATTTATCATAAAATGTTTTTTTTATAATTCTATTCAAACATTTCCTTTCTTTGAGAATGCTCTTTTATTTATTCTATTCAAGCACGATGCAAAATCTTCCCATTATCTAATAAGCCTAAGGTCGAGACAACCTCAGATTTTCCCTGGTGTCGCGACTTTTTCTAAAATCAATATTTTTTCCGGATTTAGATTATTTATTTCGGATTGTCCAGTATTTTGAAAAGTATAGGTATAAATTGTATCTTTGAAATTACTTGATAATATAATTACAACTCATCAACAATTTGCGCATTGAAACAATGCGTTAAGAATGAAACAAAATCCAAAGACGGTTTAAAATATCATATCAACTTAATTTTACGAAAATTAGCAAAAAGTGCTATTTTTTCTGTCAATAAGTTATGAAGAAAATTGAACAGAATTTCTTTGAATTTTATACAACCAAAAATTATATAGTTAAAGCACATATTATGTTTCTATATTTTTTTTGTTAACTTCCCGTAGGGCAAGTTATAGTAATCGCAAAAAAATCAAAAATGAAAATTTTTATATATCTTTACATTTCAGAGGTTTCTGAACATTTTGGCATACCTTAGAAAAAATGGATGTATGTGTGTGTGTGTGTGTGTGTGTGTGTATGTGTGTGTGTATGTGTGTGTGTATGTATGTATGTGTGTGTATGTATGTGCGGATACAAATTTTCGTCGACGATTTCGGGAACACGGATCAACCGATTTGAATAATTTAAAAAACATTCGATTCGTATTGATAAGGAGACGTGCTGATTAGTTTTTGGCAAAGGCAGGTCTAGCCGTTCCGAAGATATGGGGCAAAAAGTGCCAAAAACGGTACCTCAGCTTTTAAGAGAACGGAGCGTCCGATTTGAATAATTCAAAAAACATTTCACTTGTATTGACAAGATGAAGAATCGATAAAATTTTCATGAAGGTAGGTCTAGCGGTTTCGGAGATATAGAGGAAAAAGTAAAAAAATGGGCCATTTGGCGGTCAAAAATGATCATTAGACATATGCACATCAAATTATCAGATATTTTATAGAGATTTTAACAATAATTATACATTTTGTTAACATTCCTATGGGTTCCGTACCAATGCTCATGCGTTAGACAGCGACGCGGCGCTTACGCGCTTTATATTTTGTCCCTATGCAGTCAAAGCAGTACGATTGCTTTGAAAAGAAAGTTCAGATCTTCCACAATATGTCAAAATAAAGAAAAAAAATTTTTTTTTTCAAAAAAAAAAATTTTAAAAAAATTTTTTAAAAAAAAATTTTTTTTTTCAAAAAAAAGTAATTTTTTGTCAAATTTATAGTTTCTCAAAAATCTCATTTTTTCAAAGTAAATTTTTTTCAAAAATGTTAATCGTTTTTAAAAAAAAATAATAATTTTTGGTACGGGAAGTTCCAGCAATTTGCCTTAAGGCACGATGCCCTAATTGCCTTAAGACAGAATTCCACTTACAGCTAGTTTACTCTTGTTTGAGCTATATCGTGAGATATTGGAGTTATTAAGGTTTATACAAAAACTGATACTTAAAATTAGCAATTTTTTAAAAAGCCTTGAGAAAGTTATGTTTAAATTAAATGCACGACCATATCGCATAAAGTAGAAGAGCTGGTTTATGTCTAAATAAAATGTTGGTTGTGATATTTAAAATATGATTTAGCTTTTACATCGTTCTTCTCTATCTTATTATTAGCTTTATTTCAAAAACTCGTTTCGAATTTTCATGAAAAAAAAACTTTGCTCTAATATTCTGTAATTCAAACAAAAAAATTTAACTAATTATAATTTAGAGAAATTAAAAGCAATTTTTACTGTTCAATGTCGTTGATAATATAATGCAATTTAATGCAATAAAGAAATAATAATAGGGAAATAATAATTTAACCAGGATTAAAAAAATGTTCAAAACAATTATTCGTGGAATATGCATAATTTTCACATATATGTAAAGTAAATAAGGAAGTAATATAGTAAGTAATAATGTAATAAATAATGTAGTAAATATAGTAAGTAATAATGTAATGTAATGTAGTAAATATAGTAAGTAATAAAGTAAGTAGTAAGGAAGTAAATATTTTCATAATAGTGAAACAAGTTATTCAGCATGGAATTAGAATAAGTAAATACCATATATTTTCATATTTTTATAATAACTAAATTAAATTATAAAAAACAATGCTATTACAAATAGATCAATGCTTGTTGAAAATCAATGAAAAAATATATAAGTATCAACACATGCTTATTAAAACCAATTTTAGTTTAAATATTATGTAAAAGATCTAGTATTTTCTATTCCGGGCAAATTTAATAAAATTTAGACATTGTATTTATATTTTATTTAACGAAATAAGGTTTCCGGAAGGAGTCTTTAGTTTATTTATCAATCGGGTACATTTGCCATTTTCAATTTACTACTATTTCAATATTTTCTACTAAAAAACATGTTTTACAATTTCATAATTTTCTTCAAAAAAATTGGCAAATTCTAGTTTACTAAACTATATGTTGAAATTTTCCATTACTTGAATAAAACTATTTTATTTAAACACTTTTTAATAAAACCTTCACGAGGATTACCTATAACTTTAGTACCCCTTCCAAAAACAATTTAGTTTATAGATTTTATATTCGAAAACATAAAATCATATTCTTTTTTGTATTAGTAATGAAGCTTTACGTTGTAGATTTAATATACCTTGAATTAAAATAATATTATATATTGAAATCAGGTTATCATCAATACTAAAATTATCACATCTTTTTTTCAGATTTGCTTGCAAATTAATATGAGATTTTACCAAATGGATAACTTTCAAAAGTGTCATTTTGCACGATAAAACAAGG